CCCTACTACTACTAAGCCGAAACTTGCATACATAAGTAAACTCGGTTGTCTTCCCCTTCTCATCCTCATTACAACTACACCTTTTACATCCACAGCCACGCCTTTCCTTCGAACTCTTCTACAAACAAGATCTTATTCGACTCCATCACGCAAAATGCCTCTCGTCGTCCCCGGTATCCAGTCCAAGGATGGAAACTCCAAGGAGGAGTGGATGACCAAGCTCATGGGCAAGAAGATTGGCGAGCAGCACGATGAAGTGGTGAGTTTTGCCCTAACTTCCCCTTCCTTCCTCCTTTATCTCTTTAAACATGTTGATAACTATTTACATGTTTGGACTGAGCAACTAACGAGTTGAGTGAAATCGCTAGACGTTCGCAAAGACCGATCTCCCAGAGCAGCACCGCGTCCTCGGGCCCGACTCGATGAAGACTATGGATTTCAAGCCAGACAGGCTGAACGTACACGTTGATGAGGACGGTACCGTCAAGGATATTACTCACGGTTAAAGAAAGAGGTCGGCTGCATGGCAACGGGCTTGATTGTTCTGGAGGGATGAGGCATAGCTGCCTGGACGTGGTTAATGAAGATGGCAACATGGGGCGTGTGCACCCCAGACCGCTACTATAATAGATGACACTGATGAATCAAAGTCACGATTATTCACAATACAACTAAGGTGTGTGTATGCATCCAAAGTAATGTCTTGAAAAGGAACACGAGAGAGTCTCCACTAGTTAGAGAACACTCGAGCATTTTGCCACAGCTATCTGGTCTCAGCGCCAACTCCAACGCTTCGCTAAAAAGAAACGAGAAGATAAAAAGTTGAGAAAGCCCCAATGATATCGTACAGCAAAAAAACAGAAGTCAGATACCACCGCTTGCAAGGGAAAAGAAGAGAAAAGAAAGGAAGAAAAAAAAAGGTGGCTACCGAATTTCCCAGCCAAATTCCCTGCCAACTCAATTTTTCTGCAACTCCAAATTTGGTACTTGGGCCGCATATCAGCCCTACAGCCCTGCCCGCACGGTCGCCCACAACAAAAAAAGAACATCGCCACTGTGGGGAAAAGCTTATTGCAACCTCACTGGCGACGACTCGTCTGTCCTCTCTCTTTTACGCCTTTGTTCGTTTGCGCGGTGCCTCGAATTCTCTCCTACTGGTAGCAATCTGCACCTCGTCCTTGTTTCGCAACGCATCGACCACGGCCGTCATCTTGAGCATGGTAGCATGCATGGCCTCTGGATGCTCAAAGCAGAGCATGATGCACGCTCGTATCGTGAGCGCGGAAAAGTATCGTCGTAGCACCTTGTCTTTCTCGTGGTAACTGGCGGCTCCCATGACGAGTCCGATCCAGAGAAGTACACCAGCCATGTCACCCCAGCAGTCGGAGAGGTTGGATTTCTCCAGTGCTTCCCTGACCTCTGAGAGTGTGGTAAAACGCCGTTGGTTGCGCAGTGTCTCCGCTGAGATAGATGATTGGGATGAAAATGATGGGTGGTGTGAAGCGGTTGAGGCGTCCGAGGATCGGTGAACAAAGGGAAAGCTCGACTGTTGTGCAGAAGAGCCAAAACTGAATGAGCCACCGAATGATGGACTCGTCGAGTAATCCGTATCCGGGGTACTGTATGGAACATCAAAGGGCGAAGGTAGAGATTCATTGGATTGCGAGGCCAGTGACGATGTGTAAATTGTAGACATTTTTCTCGTTGGACACGCGTGTGCAATGGCATCCGACAGCTGGGTTCGGTTGTTGATTGCGTATGCTTGGACAACGGCAGTGATCCGTATTGCCTCGTATTTCCAGTCTTCTTGTGTACGCACGTTGTTGCTAGACATTTGTTCCAAGGCCGGGTATTGGGTGATGCGGTAGGTCATGCTTGTAAGCTTGTTCGAATTCCATTGAGCGTCCTTCGACTCCTCGAGAAATTCTTCAATCAATGTTCGCATGTCGTTCAGGAGCTTTAGTGTATTTGGCTGATACGCGACTGCCCGTGAATCCTCGACTGTCACATATTTCCCGCGAGGACAGTAGAGTGGAGACTCTGGGGCTGTGACATTAGGCGGGTATTCCCTTGTCGAATTGTTGACGCAGTACTCAACATACATTGCGCTAGGTGTTGTTTCGCGCAGGACCGCGGTCGCCAGGTGTGCCCAAGACACTGCAGATGCCAGATAGCCATTTACACCCAACTTGTTTAGCCCACCACGCTCTTTAATCATCTTCTCCATGCCGTCCTGATGATAAGCCAGACTCATTTCTGTCCGACTAATGACTTCACCGAGAATGAGCTGACTGACCGCGATGATGTTAGCGTCATCTGTCCTTGTTTGGGACTTCTTGATTTGGTCTACAATAAGTTCCACGACGTCTTGGCGCAATGCTGCAGTTTCGAGACTCTCGACATCGCGCTGCCGTATAACGTCGTCATGTGCAGATGCCATGAACAGCGTACTAAGGAAAGTGTGAGGATGGTCGAGGCACTTTGGTATCCATATTCGGCCAAGGCTTCGTGTGCCAAAGTACGTCCTGCAGTGGTGCTTCAACTTCTCGACAGAAACGTGTGGGTTACTCGATTGGAACATGGTTCCGAAGGGATCCAAGCTCATGCCTATCCATTTGAATGGTATGTTGTGCTTGTCAAACGCATAGTTGATTTGAGGGTTTATGGGAACAACTATGGGCGTTCGGGGGACAGTAGATGGTTGTGGTTCTACTTTTGCTATCCTAGTATCAGGACTTGAGTGGTCGCCGTCTTTCTTCTTTGATTTGGAAGAAACATCAGGGGAAGCTGGCTTCTTTCGACTGCTAGTCTTTTTCTTGGGTTGGGCGATTGGGCGACTTTGAGTCTCCTCGCCTGAATGCGACTCGTCGGAAGCTTCACTACCCGCCCTCGACTTTGCAGCCCCTCGACCTTTTCCAGTCTCGAGATAGCTGACCATGGCTTTTTGGCGCACTTGATGCATGATGGCTTTTGATTTGAACTTGGCGGGTTCATTTGCGACAATCCACAAAAGTCCTCCATCTCTAGATGGTGATTCTGTCGGCGAAACGCTCGACGTCTTGCGTGAACGCAATGCTACATGTGCTGTCAGTATATGCTGCCACACAAGAGGCGATAGGACGGCAATGCTGAGCAGTCATGTCCGTGTGAGTGAGTGGCGTTGGACTGGCAATGGACATAGGTGCGGGTGCGGGTGCAGGTGCAGGTGCAAGCACAGAGCGAGACCTCGGCATGGTGATGGCAGGCTTGCTGCCCATGTAGTGCACTCAACGTGCGCACATCCGACTTATCAGTGAAGACGAAGAGAGCTTCGCTTACATTTGATCTCCGAACGTGGCGACATAGGGCTGCAATGCAAGGTCGTGTCCGAGTCGACGGTGGATGCAGGTGAGGGATAGGCGAAATGCATGTGATGTGTGGCGGCGAAGAGGAAGGGCTCTGCTGGAGGGGCAGTCATTGTTGTCGACTAGCTCGATGCTCCAAAGGGAAGGGAGGGGGTTTGCCCAGCACAAAAGTCAAGCAAAGGGTGCAAGCAAAATGGGCGGTTCCTCGATCAGACCAGCAAATGTGTTTGATCAGCAGCAAGCAGGAGAGGCGGTCGAGGGATCGGTCAGTATCAGGTAGGGCTGAGGGAATACGGGGGCCTGATGAAGACATATATGTAGGCGTGCAGGTGCCTGTTCTGCCTTGCCTGTCAGGCTGAGCCAGCATTCCACAAAGCGCAGGACGCGCCGTCTAAGGGCCCCCTTGTGTTGCACTGTGAAGCAGGCAGTAGGCAATTTGAGCGGCATGCAGCATATGTTGGAGGAACGCGTGGCAACGTGGTGTCGCTGGGATACAAAGGCCATGGCCGCGGATGGCGGATGGCGGCCGTCCGTGGCTGTGTTCCTGATGCCAACCTGGGCGGGCGAACGAACCATAGGCCAACGCTCGGTCGTAGGCACATTGCTGGCCTGACCGCCGGCCCATGGCTCTGGCGCCCGCGCAGTGCGCCTCCTGGACTGCCTCAGTGCAGATGCCCATCAATGTCGGTCGCCCTGCAACATGGTCGACACCCCCCATTGGATGCCGTGCCACACGTGCAAAGCCTGTCACCAATCGCACCATGTAACGCTCCAGACATCAGACCCGTCTCACCGCCTCCGACACCCACACCCCCGCGACATCTCCCAAGGAACGCCAATGCCGTCCCTCCCCCCCCTTTATCTATACACACCTCTCTCAGATGAGCCACGGGTCCGGTCCTTTCGCGTCACAAAGGCATCCTTGGCTTAAACACGCGCACATGGTTAACATGACTTTACGTACACAAGATACGGGCGAGAATGCAATCTCAAATGACACAAAAAACTCACCAATGCCATCATATCATCAACGTTCGCTTACCGGCGTACCAGCAGGTTGGGTACGCCACGCCTTGGGCTGGGTGTAATCACATTGCTATAGGCGTGTTGGCCGCCCTACTTACCAATCACTCGTTTCGACTCATCTGGCGCCGAATGCCGTAAGCAGCCCTGTGGAGTCCATACGAGCGCGAGCGGTGAGGTCATTGGTATGCTTATAGCTCTACCACAACTTTGGGATCGTGGATGCAGCCTCAGCTACTCCACAGGGCTAGACCGTCTGCCTTTGACAGCACGGGCTTTAGCACTGCTAGACGTGTGATACAACAGAAGGACTTTGTACATGGTTGTATTAATAGACTTGTCTACCAAGCCTCTTGGGACTGTTGCTACTGGCGTCAATTGCTCAGTCCAAGACCAAAATAGTCACTGGGAGCTTGCTGTCCGCTTGCCCTCCCAGCACTCGCGCCAACGTCTCCAGGGCTAACACCATCGCTCTCTTCCGACGTGATGCTCGTACTGTTCGCCCCAAAATCGTCGCCTATTCCGCCTAATCCGCCTAACGCACGATGCCCATTGCCCCGCCCTCTCGACGGCACATTGAGACGAGTAGAATCAAACGTGAAATGGGGCTGGCCCAACCCAGACTCTGCTGATGGGCTCTTCAGCTCCACAAGCTCCAGCGTGCTACGGAGCGTCGCACCAGATTCATCCAGAGCCATCAAAAACCGCGCTAGTTCTTTGCACAGCTCCCAATCACCTTCGTCTTTGGCACGTTGCAGTAAGCGCACCACCTGGTCTCCCGTCGACCGCAGCTCTTCAAACGTGTGAAGAACAAGTAAGTAGCCACCTGCAGTCTTGAGATTACCTTTTTGGAGCGATTCTTCGAATAGCTCTTCCGGCGGTGGTAGATTCGAGAACAGAGTTCTCCAGGAGCGTACTTCAGTTTTGCGCGTACATTGCACCACGATATCAAGGTACTGTGGGAACGAACTCAAAAACGATAGTACGCTCGGTAAGAGGGCTTGTTCAAGTGGCGGTTGTGTGTCAACCTCTTCGTCCAATACTTCGTGCAGTAAGATTTCCAAAGCATGAGGAAAGTACAGCAGATGCTGGTAATGATGGCTGAGATGTAGAGCCGCAGGGTGATTGAACTGAGCCAGGTGAGAGCGCAGCAGTGCGGGAAGGAACAAGTGGGTCTACCACACATGTCAGCAAGGCATGAACACAGAGAGACGGAACAGCTTACCCTCGTTCCGAAGCGCAGGAAGGCAAAGTTTGTGTCTCTGCGCTGGATCAACTCCGACTCAACACCAAATACTATGGCTTTATTGATCAATGCGGATAGCGGGTAGAAATCGACCGGAATCTGCACAGGTGTAGGCAGCTCTCTGCCTATCTCAGGAGATGCAGAAGCCAGTACATCTTGCATATCGATCCACACCCGCATATCTTGGCCATCAAAGAACCACAGTGAATCGCGCAAATCATGGCCATGCATACCCTCCATTGTGAGTCCTACTAAAGGGCTTGGCGGTAGGGAGTCGGCTTGCTTGTCCAGTGCAAACGCAGGGTGGTCGCGCATGAGTGCATACGTCTCTACGTTCTGCGCAATGATACGCATTTCATACTTGAGCCCGCCGACTTCTGTTGTAGTTGGCTGCAGTAGCACAAGTTTACCGTCCACAAGGAACAATATTGTGGCAACCGACACGTCTTGCGATGGGTCTCCGCTGTCTAAGCCACGTTAGATTCTGTAGAACCATGCTCTGAAAGAACTTACGCATCTGGTCTTCAGGCAAAATCCAGCTGAGTGCTCGCACTCGCGGAGGCGCACGGATAATACCGTGCAGTGCAATTTGACCAACTTGAACTAGTTTGACACTGGCATCTGCGACACTGATAACGTAGTGGTACAAGACGTTTTCGTATGTGTAGACCAGGAGCGAATCCTCTCCTGAGGGCGCAATCAAAACTATTGGTGCAGGGAGCTTCTGCACATGCATGATGCGGCCTTTTTCCAGAGCCGCCTCGCGAGAATACACTCGAATCTAGGTATGACCAAGTCAGTATGCGTCAGCAAAACCGTCCCACATTCATCGTACCTCGTGAGATTCTTGGCATTCAACCGCTGCAATCAGAACATGCTGAAACCAGCACATTCCTCCTCGAACAATAAACTCGTTCTCGCCAAACGGATCGTCAAACATTTTCCATCGTCCGCTATTCACACTGTAATGTGCAAGTCCTCTTTTCCCTGCGATTGCGACGTATCGCCCATCGTTTGAGATGACTGCACTTCTGATTGGCCACTGGTCGACAAGATAAGCCGCAGGGACCTGTACATGATGCCACAAAGAGACATCAGCCGATATGGTCGTGAGGTCTGGGAGGTCGTAGCCACGATAGATCATGAAGCCAGTGCTGGTCTGCATCAAGGACCGTGATACATTGGCAGATGAGAAGCAACCAGTAACCGCGCTTCGAGCCATTTCCATGGTATATAGACGATTATCGTTGTTGGCCAACATCAAGAGCTCAGCTCCCCCGCCGATCCAAAAGGCTTCCTTGATGCCAAGAAGCCAACCTTCTTTGTTTGTCTCGGAGAGCGTCCTGTCTGCGGTAAAGCTAGTAGCACCGGGTTTACCGTATACACTCCACATTGCCCAGCCGTTTTCGTAACCAGCAAACAGACAGTACCCATCTGGCGAGTAGGTCAAAATAGTCAACTGCCCAGGCGATGTCACATTCGGACGTAGCTTGTGCGAGAGAGGAATGTTGCCTGTGTAGTCTTTTGCCGTATACACATATATCTCGCCACTGGCGCTGCCAACCGCAAGTAGAGAGAACCGCGCATTGATCGCAGCCTTGATTCCTTTGTCCGCATCTACCTCGGGCGTGTGGAAGCCATGGCCACGGAAAAGACTGGGATCTTCGCTATCCTTTTTCGCGACTTTTTGAACAGCAAATGCCTGGCCATCATTTGTAATCCAACAGGATATGTTCATAGGTCGATCATGAACCAAATCACGTAGAGTCGTCTTTTTTCCAATCCACGCCATTTTGGATAACAACTCGGTGCTTGTTTGATTTCCAGTGCTGTCTGGCGCCCATCGAATGCATTGTATAGCAGCAGGCTTCTCCGTTGCAACAATTAATTCCTCGTCTAGGGCCAGGGCTCGTATTATCCCAGCATCGACCCGTATAACCATGCGGAAACGCAGGCTGAGCTCTCTCAAGCCATTGCCCTCTCCTGGCCCCGCATTGGCCTCATGCTGCCGTTGTATCTTGAAGCCAGTGATTGCACTGCTTCTTCTCGCGTGTCCTCCGTGTGTGTTTGTGAATTGGGTTTTGTAGACACGCGAAGCACGATCTGTCGCAAGGGAATACGTAATCAAAAATCCGAGCGTGGTTTGTACGACGAATATCTGAGAATCGGGGCGAACGAGCACATCGGTGTTGGGGCCGTATGTTTTGACGGATTGTTCGGAGCGTAACACAGAAGCCAAAACAACGGTAGGCTATGGGATGTATCAGTGAAGGCCGACCAAAGAGGCAAGCACATGGTACCTTTGTCTGCCAGACTGTGAGTGTTGTTTTTGTGAGGGTTGCAAACAAGTGACCACTCCTAGTCACTCTGATAGCAACAATGGTTCCATAGATGTCGTCCTCTACCGGCGGACTCGGAGCAGCTTGTCGCGACAGCTCCCCATCTTCCTTCTCTTCTGCTCCGCTTGTATTGTTCGTAGCTTTCTTTTCCTTTGGCTGAGACTCTGCAACACGGTCTGGTTCGGTGTGTTGGTCGCCTGATTGCTTGCGCTCTAAGCCATCGTTGGAGACATGTGGGCGCCCTAGGTCCGTACGTTTAGTAGCCGCGAAGACGGAGGGCGACGAGATAGGCCAATACGTCATGGCGCTTTACCGCAAGCGATGGCTGCATTTGCGCGCGCCCACCTCACTGCGGGGATGTGTGCTTCACGAAGCTCATGCTAGCTGGCTAGATGCAGGGTAAGGTGGCTGTGGTGTCTGATGTTGAGCTTGATGGTCCACGCGAGGCGCAGCACCAGTCCGGCACAGTTGTGGCTGCCCGGTCCGTGCTTAGATAGGACAATCAACACAGCGATAGCAAGGGTCAATCAAATTGGCGGGGTTGCACATCCCATGTTTTTTATGTTTGTGCTACCTCAGGGCTCCCGGCGCAGTTAGGAAGGTGGTATTGCAGGCATGACTGCAAGAAGTAGCCGGCAGCCATTAGAGCACTCTTGAATGGATGATGTTCGCACTCATGTGCGCGTAGGCGCTGCAAGAGCTTGCGGCCGTCATATTCTAAGATTTCTGGGGAGTGCAAGAAGGCCAAAGTAGTTTACCAGTCCACAAGTCAACAGAGCACACCAATCATGTTTTCTGAGAACCTTGAAATACTGGATTCATGATAACTAGAATCTCTGTCATATGTTTACTCTGTGTCAAATTTTCCAATTGATACGTCAACCATGTTTGGGGAATCACGCGCGATATCGAGAATGATAGTGTTGAAGGAAGTGTATTGAGCTTGGCGAACGTAGGGATGCCCAGTACCAAAAAGGCCATGCAGCCTGCCTTTTTCGTTTTCTAAGATTTCCACTGACGGTATGTTGATTGCATTTGCCCAAACTTCCATCAAATCCTTTACGGTGAGATGGCCGAGTTGGTTATGGCGCCAGGTTAAGGTCTTCTTAACATCATATTCCTGGTCACGAAAGTGGCGTGGGTTCGAGTCCCACTCTCATCAGCATTCGTCTGGCTTCAGTCAGATACCCCAGGTTCTTTTTTTTGCAGGTTAATCAGCCTGTATGGCAGGGTTGCGTGGGTTGTGTCACGGCGACAAAGCGTTATTTTTTACATGACCACAGAGATTGTGGGTAGCGCTGTTCGTGAGCATGTGGTTCTGAATTTGGAATTAAGATCTCGTCACAATGTCCTGCTATCCGTACTCGTTTTTTTTTCAATAATCTGCAGTTGATAACATAATTTCCGAAGCGGCAATGCAATAACAAGTAGGGATACAATCTGCAAGAAAGGCTGGTCTAGATATGGATAATCCTTTCTACCCTTCTAATGTATTTCTCATCAGGGAAACCCGATCAAGGAATGAGTTTCAAGATTTAATTGTCACATGTATTCTTACTAAAAAAAAATGTCCTCGTAATGTATAATTGCGTGCGCACCGAGAGCATCACCGATGACGTAGTACATACTTATCCAGGACCCTGCAGATCAACTCCCAAAAAATTACGCGCAACATCCTGTTCTGTACCAATAGCACCATCATATTTTGAGGGACGGGGAGAAACAAGCTTCAGGTCGTTGCAAATGTCGGGGAATTCCAACTCAGACATCTTAATTGTAAGTGACTGATTACCTTGTTGTAATGCATTCCTTGCATGCGCACCACTATACATTCATCTAGACTCGTAGTAGGTAGGCGGCATATAACAAGGAATCATGAAACGAGATATTTTAAATGAATCGACAAGAGTATATGGTGATAATCCGAAGACTGACAAAAAGAAACTCTAGGCAGGCGCAATTGCAGCCTTTACAGTCGATCTCCTTGTGTATCCGCTTGATACATTGAAAACACGCATTCAATCGCCCAACTATGCAAAAGTGTATACGAATCCGCAGACGGGAAAGCCGAACCCGGCTTTGTTTCGTGGCGTATATCAAGGAATTGGTAGTGTGATAATAGCTACACTACCTTCATGTAAGAAACATGCATTCACTTCTACTCCCTTCATCATCTCTCCAGTCCTCCAAACATGAGCCCTCAAAAACTCTTAATCCCTCGTAAATCTAACTCCACAAAAAAGCAGGAGCATTCTTCACAACCTACGAACGCACAAAATCACTCTTCACCCGTCTAAACACCACCTCCTCCTCCCCCAACGGCCTCCTCCCCACCCCCTTAATCCACGCCTCAGCCTCCTCCCTCGCCGAACTCGTCTCCTGCGCCATCCTCACCCCCGCAGAAGTAATAAAGCAAAACGCACAAATGGTCTCATCTTCCTCCTCCACCACCTCCTCATCCTCAACAAACGCAACTCTCCAAACCCTCTCGAAATTCCGCTCCAACCCCCTCGCCCTCTGGCGCGGCTACACCGCACTCGCAGGGCGCAACTTACCTTTTACAGCAATGCAATTTCCGCTGCTAGAACGCTTGAAAGAGGCGATAAAGCAGTACCGCGATGAGCGCGGATTAACACGCGGTACGATTGTGGAGAGCGGGTGTATTACTGCGTTTAGTGCGGGCACGGCTGGGGCTGTGGCAGCGGTGATTACAACGCCGATTGATGTGGTTAAGACGCGGATTATGCTCGCAGCGGGCGAGGGACCGGGGGAGACGAAGGGTGCGGAAGGGAAGGCGGCGAAGGAGGGGATTAAGAGTGCGGCGAAGGATTTGATGCAAGGGGGTGAGGGGGGAAAGAAGAGTAGTTGGGGGATTGGGAGGGAGATTGTGGCGGAGAAGGGGGTGAAGGGGTTGTGGAGAGGTGGTGCGTTGAGGGCTGTGTGGACGTTTGTGGGTGCGGGATTGTATTTGGGGGCGTATGAGACGGGGAGGGTGTATCTTGCTAGTCGGCGAGGCGATGAGATTAGTGAAGAGGATTTGATGTAGATGTGATTGTTGGGCATGAAAAGAGATATGACATGTCTTTACGTAGAAACAGAACACCCGGGCTTTAGACAATCTCAGATGAAATGAATGTTCCATATCGTATGATATTTGAATTATTTTTTTCATTCGTGGCTAACAGTACTTTTTTTCTTCTACTGTCCATAAAATATCCATCTCCACTGCAGACCTATACAGGAGAAAGGGAGAGGAAAAAAAGGGGGGTATATCTACATGTCACGTCGTAAGCCTGATCCCATAACACCCCAAGAAAGAAATTCGCCCAAAATCTACGGGGAAAGGAGCATACTGCTACTCATGCATTCCGTCTCTTTACCTTAAAACGCCCAGAATCTCACTTTTCGTTAAATCATGCCATAGCGTAGACCGCTCTTCAACCAGAAACAAGACGATGGACAAAAGAAAACAAACTCCCACGTCAGACGACTACAACTTAGTGTCCTGTCTGTTTGTATCGCTGAGGCGTCGAAAGGGGCCTTGAGACATGACACTAGGGCCGGGCCTAGTGCCAGTGGCGCGCGTTGGGTTGCTGCCGCTTGCAGTTGCGGCTGTGGTACCTGGGGTTCTGGAGTTGCCAGCGGCATTAGAGCGTTGCTGGAGCGTCGCGCTAACCACCCACTGCAGATGCATGCGCATATTGCTGATAGCCGCGTTGACGTGCAGCATCTCGTCTTTGGTGCGCTGGCTCTCGTTGATGATCATCATGTTTGTGCGCCCGTCGAGGTCGGTGAGGGCATTGGCGATGCGAGATACTTCCTCGCGGAGGGAGTCGTGTAGTGTGAGTAGATGGTGGATCTGTGAATCGAAAGGTGGTTGGGCAGCGTTGCCATCGGTTGTGGGTGGAACTGGTGGAAACGAGGCTGGTGGCAGCCGGAAGTCGGGGGTTGGTGCTTGAGGGTCAGTGTCATTGGCATTCAAGGGATCCGTGACTGGGAAAGAAGTATCGTTTCCATTGGCGGGGTACAGATAGTTTGTGATGTTGGTGAGGCCGTCTTCGAGGATGCCAACCTTCCTCGTGAGGGGCTCCATACGCGCTTCATTCCTCTCAATCCTGGCTTGCTGCTCGCGGAAGTGAGGCGCCATTGTTGCCATTGGACAAGCGGCTTCATGCGCGATGACTTGGGCACGCTCGGCGTGGAACTTGCAGCCCACAATTGTTCCTTGGCATGAGATAACATGCTTGGGGCAGTCGTTGTTAATGTGAGGCTTGAGGTCTAGACGAAGCACTTCGGCCGAGCATAATGTGCAGGATGTGATGCGATTTGCGCAGGAAGTTCGTTGGTGCTCCTGTGTGACAATAGTAAGTAGCCGCCGCATAGGCATAGTCATCGACCAGGCTTACCTCAAGATCCCTCTTCATGAGCGAAGTATGACAGTCCTCACAGCTCACTGTGTAGTGCAGACAACCTTTGTGGAAGTCTTTCTGGGTTGTAGGCAAGCGGCAGTCTACTGCTGAACACATGACGGGAGTGTATTCGCAATACAGCATGACGTGGTCGCGCACGTTGACACGCTGGGCCTGCCAGTTGCAGCCAGCCTTTGTGTTTGGACATTTGACCACCAACTCGTCAAGCATAGTCTCGACAATCTTGGGCACTGGGCGTATATCCTGATCCGTCTCGACAGCATGGCGGCACGTGGGACAGGTTCGGCGGGTGTGTTGCTGGGGCGCCCACGCATGGTCGAGGCAGTCGCGGCAAAAGTAGTGTTCGCACGACAGCTGGACGGGCTTATCAAAGGGTGTGTGGCAGATGAGGCAGACGAGGTTGCTGTCGGGTTCGGTGAGGTATTCGAGGTTCTGGAATTCGGGCGGGACCTTGACGATGCGACTCTGTCGGCGCTTGGATGAGGGTGAGTTTGACACACGAAGAGCCAAAGGCGAAGGACTGCCAGGAGGGCCACCGACCGTCATTCTCTCATCGTGCTCGTTGGCGGCGCTGGACGAGCGCGACGACCGCCGGTCTGCTGGAAACGGGATAGGACCGGGCGAAGGCATGGCTGGGGGCGGCGGCGGGGACAGGCTGGAGAGGAGGAGGATAGGTGGTGGCAGCAGCGGAGTGGGCGGTGGTGGGGGTTGGAGCAATGTAGGGCCTGGCGCGTGGTTTTATTATCTCCCAAGCAGGGCAGCGCCAGAAGCAAATATCATGGATGGCGGTCAGGAATGCACATGGTCCCGAAACTAGAGGGAGCATGCGGGCAATGGGTGTACATGGTAACTTGATCCTCGTCCCCGCCAATC